TGTCTCTGTGTGTGGAGTAAAGGTGGTCTAGAGTTGTTTTTCCCTCTGGTTGCACGTGTGACATGCTGATAGAAATTAGGTAAAACTGATTTAAGTTTGCCTGCATTAAAGTCCCTGGCCAATAGGAGCGCCACTTCTGGATGAGCATTTTCTTGTTTGCTTATGGCCTTATACAGCTCGTTGAGTGCGGTCTTAGTGCCAGCATCGGTTTGTGGTGGTAAATAGACGGCTACGAAGAAATATAGATAACTCTTGATAGATAGTGTGGTCTACAGCTTATCATGAGGTACTCTACCTCAGGCGAGCAATACCTCGAGACTTCCTTAATATTAGACATCGCGCACCAGCTGTTATTGACAAATAGACACACACCACCAACCCTCATCTTACCAGACGTAGCTGTTCTGTCCTGCCGATGCACGAAAAACCCATCCAACTGTATATTATCCGTGTCGTCGTTCAGCCACGACTCAGTGAAACATAAGATATTACAGTTTTTAATGTCCCGTTGGTATGATAGTTTTGAACGGAGCTCATCCAGTTTACTCTCCAGTGATTGCACGTTGGCCAATAGAACGGATGGTAGAGGCGGGTTACCCACTCGCCGACAAATTCTTACAAGGCCCCCGGATCTTCGCCCTATGTATTTCTGTCTTTTCTTCATGCGAGTGATGGGGATTTGGGCCTGGTCCGGGTGAAACAGTATATCCTTTGTGTCAGACTTATTAAAGAAAAAATCTTCATCCAGTTCGAGGTGAGTAATCGCTGTTCTGATATCCAGAAGCTCTTTCGGTCATAAGAGACGGTAACAGCAACCATGATGTACAAATAATTTACAAACTATGCGAAAAAACTTAAAAAATAGGCCACAATTGGTTAGGAGGCCGTAAAACATCAGGCCAGCCTCCCCGCCGGCGCCATTATCTCCGTCTTGGTACGCCCCCACCATGTGTAAAAATATTTAGAAAAGCATATATGCTACATTGAGTTATCAGATACCTTCCCGTGTCTAGGGTCAAAGCCGCATGTGTTAACCACTTAAATTTTATATTTTGGGATCATTTGTGAGAAGGAGCGTGAACTTTAAGAAGTATCTGCCTCCTTCTCAAAATGATCCAAAAATATAAAAATAAGAGGTTGGTTCCACAGTGGGGGTCATTGACCTAGGACAACTGGAGGGTATTCATACTTTTATATTATATTATGTGAGCTAAACATTAAAATTTTAAATTAAACCGTTGGCATCAAAGCAATACATAGCATCAGCAATCCTGAGGTGCGTTCAGTTCACTGCGCCACGGTTTGTACTGAATGACATCTTTCCCCAAAACGTTCTTGTAAATTCTTGAACAGACTTTGAGGTACGTTGTTCCTGTTTGGTGGGTGTGGCGAGGTGTGGCTTGAAGCAATGAGTGACGTATTTAAAGGGCAGTGGCCATGCTGAAGCCGTTCCCCAACTCACAACCTCCCCGTTTTTCAACTGGTCTTTCAGTACAGCACCGCTTCTGTTCAATTTAACATAACGGAAAAACGTACTGTACGCAGCTCAGGGTTTACGCCTCGATCACGCAGAGTGTGTCATTGTGTAAAATGGTATGCAGCATCATCTGGATCTGTGTGCAGAAAAAGTTCAACCTTCACCTTCTGCTATCATTTCTGTGAAGCAGTTTACACATACAATTTTATGCATATGTTCTATAAATGCATACGTTCTACGTATGCACCACACAGAACGTACTGCAACTGCCTCTGCAACGCAATGCTGCAAGGCAAACGCAGCGTTCCATTGGAAATTAATGTACTTCTGGTGTACCAAAACGCAAATCACTGTCGGTGTGATCGAGGCGTTATACATCACCGCCCAACAACCTGCCCGCTTGACCCTATCCCCTCCCCTCTTCTCCAGACCATTTCCGGAGACCTTCTCCCTTACCTCACCTCGCTCATCAACTCATCCTTGACTGCTGGCCATGTCCCTTCCATCTTCAAGAGAGCGAGAGTTGCACCCCTCCTCAAAAAACCTACACTCGATCCCTCCGATGTCAACAACTACAGACCAGTATCCCTTCTTTCTTTTCTCTCAAACACTTGAGCGTGCCGTCTCTAGCCAACTCTCCTGCTATCTCTCTCAGAATGACCTTCTTGATCCAAACCAGTCAGGTTTCAAGACTGGTCATTCAACTGAGACTGCTCTTCTCTGTGTCACGGAGGCTCTCCGCACTGCTAAAGCTAACTCTCTCTCCTCTGCTCTTATCCTTCTAGACCAATCCGTTGCCTTTGATACTGTGAACCATCAGATCCTCCTCTCCACCCTCTCTGAGTTGGGCATCTCCGGCACTGCTCACTCTTGGATTGCGTCCTACCTGACAGGTCGCTCCTACCAGGTGGCGTGGTGAGAATCTGTCTCCGCACCACGCGCTCTCACCACTGGTGTCCCCCAGGGCTCAGTTCTAGGCCCTCTCCAATTCTCTCTATACACCAAGTCACTCGGCTCTGTCATATCCTCACATGGTCTCTCCTATCATTGCTACGCAGACAACACACAAATAATTTTCTCCTTTCCCCCTTCTGATAACCAGGTGGCGAATCGCATCTCTGCATGTCTGGCAGACATATCAGTGTGGATGTCGGATCACCACTTCAAGCTGAACCTTGGCAAGACGGAGCTGCTCTTCCTCTCGGGGAAGGACTGCCCGCTCCATGATCTCGTCCATCACGGTTGACAACTCCATTGTGTCCTCCTCCCAGAGTGCAAAGAACCTTGGCGTGACCCTGGACAACACCCTGTCGTTCTCCGCTAACATCAAAGCGGTGACCCGATCCTGCAGGTTCATGCTCTACAACATTCGCAGAGTACGACCCTACTTTACACAGAAAGCGGCACAGGTCCAGGCACTTGTCATCTCCCGTCTGGATTACTGCAACTCGCTGTTGGCTGGGCTCCCTGCCTGTGCCATTAAACCCCTACAACTTATCCAGAACGCTGCAGCCCGTCTGGTGTTCGACCTTCCCATGTTCTCTCATGTCACCCCGCTCCTCTGCACACTCCACTGGCCTCCGGTTGAGGCTCGCATCTACTACAAGACCATGGTGCTTGCCTACGGAGCTGTGAGGGGAACGGCACCTCCTTACCTTCAGGCTCTGATCAGACCCTACACCCAAACAAGGGCACTACGTTCATCCACCTCTGGCCTGCTAGCTCCCCTACCTCTACGGAAGCACAGTTCCCGCTCAGCCCAGTCAAAGCTATTTGCTGCTCTGGCACCCCAATGGTGGAACAAGCTCCCCCACGACGCCAGGACAGCGGAGTCACTGACCACCTTCCGGAGACACTTGAAACCCTACCTCTTTAAGGAATACCTGGAATAGTATAAAGTAATCCTTCTACCTCCCCCACAAAAAAAAAGAAGAAAAAAAGAGGTTGTCCCACTGGCTATCATAAGTTGAATGCACCAATTTGTAAGTCGCTCTGGATAAGAGCGTCTGCTAAATGATGTAAATGTAAAAATTGATACACCCCAACTGACGTGAGTTCAGTTCGCTTAAACGTTTGCTACATTGCGTAACAGTTTGTACTGAACATAGTCTGATGGGTGAGAATACATGTTTCCTCAAAACGTTCTTGTATGTTCTTGAACAGACTTTGAGGTACGTTTGCTTTTGTTTGGTGGGTGTGGCTAGGTGTTGCTTGAATCAATGAGTGACGTATTTAAAGGGAAGTTGGTGCTTTCAAGACAACTGGTGTTGCTTGTAGGAAAAAAAAGGAAGGGAAGCGCTGCTAAAGTACACAAATCAAATCAAATCAAATCAAATGTTATTGGTCACATGCGCCGAATACAACAGGTGCAGACATTACAGTGAAATGCTTACTTACAGCCCTTAACCAACAGTGCACAATAGTAGGTTCTGGTAGTGCTCTTTGGTAAAAGGGGTAAATTGTTCATCCAAAAGAAAGGAGGACCAAGGCACTCTTCATATAATTAATTCAAATGCCTTTATTTGTATGGCATGTTCAATGGAAACAAAGTTTAAAAAACGTTGTATCCATTGAACATGCCATACAAATAAAGGCATTTTAATTAATTATATGAAGAGTGCCTTGGTCCTCCTTTCTTTTTGATGAACAACTGGTGCTGCGTTAGAAACAACTGGGAAGTTGGAGTTCCGACTCAGTGCGTTCAAAACAACTGGGAACTCTGGGGAAAAAAAACTAGCTCCGACTGGGAAAAATCGATTTGAATGGTCATCCAACTCGGAATTCTAACTCAAGCCTCTTTCTAGAGCTCCGACTTTCCGACCTGAAGATCACTGACGTCATGATTTGACCTCGTATTTTTCAGAGTTCCCAGCATTAGAACTCAGAAAAAAAGAGGTCAAATCATGACGTCAGTGATCTCCAGGCAGGAAAGTCGGAGCTCTAGAAAAATACCAGAGTATCCGACTTGGATGACCATTGTTTTGAACGCACTGAAGTCGGAAGTAGGATATTTCCGAGTTCCCACCTTGTTTTTAACGCAGCAAGTGGCCAATCCATGCTGACAGCATTGCCCAACCCACAAACATTTTACAATATACGCCACAATTCAACCCCGTTTTTTAACTGGTCGTTCAGTGCAGCACAGTTTCCGTTCAATTGAACGTTCCAGAACGTAAAAACGTACTGAACGCAGCCCTGGACACTACAGGGGTGTATTCACTAGGAACCAAACGGAACGAAACGGGGAGGGACCTAGCTGCAGTTGTCCAATAGAAACTCTCGTTTTCCTTGCAAAACGCAACTGTTTGGACTTTGGACTAATGATTACACCCCGGGGGTGTATTCATTAGTCGGATTCCGTTGCAAAACGTTTAGTCTGTTTTGCGTACTGAAAACGTTTTGAAACGAAAACGAGAGTTTCTATTGGATAAATGCAGGTAGCCTACGTAGGTCCCTCACCGTTTCGTTCCGTTTGCTTCCAAGAGTCAACGGTTTCTGTTGCGAAACGTTTTGCAACGGAATCCGACTAATAAATATACCCCAGGATCCATGATGATGACTAACCACTGAAAGGCAGTATGACATCACCAACCCTGCCTTTAAATAATAATGGCAGGATTTATTTGCTAGTTGTTGTTACTCACACAAATGCAAGCCGCTTCGAACACTGTATGATTTCACCAAAGGAACAAAAACTACTTTAGATCGTTCAGTTATTTGCAACCGCTGAGAAACACAAAACAATTGTGTCCGAGTTACAGTCTGAAACAATGTCTTTCATCCCAGGACAACCAGTTACTGCCGTTGTGGTAAGTTTTGGAACAGGCTACTCTTCATTCAATAGCTACGGCATCCATTGTCCACGTCTAAAACCCTTCAATCAGTGCCTAGATGCAAACTATAAATAAGTATTTAGTGCAAAAATGTAGACTAACATTGCTGTTCGATAGGTTCTAATTAAACCACCTACAGTATCTACGTTGTACGCCTTTCTGTTGTAGCTGCTGTAGCTAGCTGGCTAACAGTTTAGGGTTATGAAGTTATAGGTGTATTTCATTTTCATATATGATGAGAAATCTATTCACTGAAAGTACATTTATTTAGTAAGCTAATGTTACACTGTGCGGCCTTGCCAACGTGTTTTTTTCTTTAGGAGTAGCCTGTTATCGCTACATTATGGATAGCAGCTAGCATTATTAGCCAAGTTGTTTGCAATGCTGCATGCATGAAAGTGAAGTGTTTCAGAGAAGGGCGTCACCTACCTACCCGAGACGGCTTGGGTGCATAGCCTACTCTATTGACACAGCCATTGAAGTGACATGGTCAATACTCTGTCATTAATGAAAGGCCATGCCTCTCAACACACTGTTTATATCTAACATCAGCTAGAAATATGAGTCATGAAGTAATTGCCTAGTGACAATGGGTTGATATTTCCATTAAAACGGACGGTGGTCAGCCTGCATTATACAATTCCATGAGTGTTTCCATGTTCTCATCATCAAGAACTTCAGATCCACTGAATGATGGTTAACCATATTGACCACAGACTGCAGGGGTTTTAAGAACTTCTGACACTGAGGCTCCTCTTATTCACCATCACACAGACTCGCTTTGTGCTGTGAAGAGCACTGAGCTGGATGTGCCAGAATCCTCCATCTGCTCTGAGAGGGCAGCTGTCTGAGGACCATGGGGATAGCTAGACTGAGAAAAGATCTGTCTCCAGTCAGTTGGTGGCAGAGGGTTTCCCTTTCAGTCAGTCACTCAACATAACACACTACAGGGATATTATCTTTGTCCCTTCAGGGAACTAGAGTCTATTCATAACCCTAGTGTTCTGGACAATTCCATGGTAACATAATGATGCTGAGATTGATTTTTCACTATAAATGATTGGCAAACAAAAACCAATGATTGCAAAGTTAAACAAACCATACAACTCTATGCACAATAACTACTTTTAACAATTTCCACAAACATTTACAAAAACACATTTACTTGAAGAACAGTGCAGATGCAAAGTTTGGTAACAGAATCATGGTTTGTGCTGTCATTCTGTTACCAAACTTTGGTTATCAAACTGTGGAATTGCCCTTCTGCATTCTTAAAGGAAGCTCAGTGCATGATGTGGTGGACTCAGCACAAAATGTAACATTCTATGCAAGTCATCACCTCATTCAAAATATTGTGGCTAGTTATGCTATTGGAACTATTGGTAGTCATTTACCACATTTTTATAACATGTTGTAATGGTGGAATGGGAATACGAACAGATACTTGATGGTTGTTGAAGTTATGAATTCTTTCCTCTCCCAGCTCAACTCTCAACTTTCATGTGCTTTACAGCAACGAATTGAAATCTGCAAACTCCGTCAGGGTGAACATTTGATCCTGGGTTTCAGCATTGGAGGGGGAATAGACCAAGACCCTGGTCAGAACCCCTTCTCTGAAGACAAGTCCGACAAGGTACGAGTAAAACACGTGGAAATACTCTCCCTGTCTGTTCTCAGTGAGCTCTGCTCTGGCAAAACTCTATTAACATCAGCAGTAAATTAAGGTATCAGAGGTAGGCCTGAACACATCAACTCTAGCCTCAGGTTGCTACTGTAGTAACACTGCAGATCCAGATAGCTGATCCCATACAAGGGCATAGATAGATTACTCAAACAGTGACATTTTAAAGTTTGGCCTATATCATCAAACCAGTCTAACGAATTGACGCTAGTTAATACGTTTTAAATGTAGATGCACAGATGTTGGACTTTCCCACGGGGGCCAGTATGAAAAAAAATAAAAATGTATGCACTCCCTAACTGTAAGTCACTCTGGATAAGAGCGTCTGCTAAATGACTAAAATGTAACAAATATGTATTTCACTTTTTCTGTTTATGTTTTTCTGTGTGTCTGTGTGATCACAGGGCATCTATGTGACACGGGTGACACCAGGGGGACCAGCAGAAGTTGCAGGCTTGATGATGGGAGACAAAGTAATGCAGGTATGCAATACTTCAAAATATTTTTTAAACGTTAATTGCTTCAGAATGCACGTTTCAAACTTTTGGCCCCAAGAAACATTTCATTTTACCTTATTAATACATTTCCACAAGGTGGCACCATTTACTAAATTTCACTTGGGATGATATACACTACATGACCAAAAGTGTGGAAACCTGCTCATCGAACATCTCATTCCAAAATCATGGCCATTAATGTGGAGTTGGTCCCCCCTTTGCTGCTATAACAGCCTCCACTCTTCTGGGAAGGCTTTCCACTAGATGTTGGAACATTGCTGTGGGGACTTGCTTCTATTCAGCCACAAGAGCATTAGTTAGGTCGGGCACTGATGTTGGGCAATTATGCCTGGCTCGCAGTCGGCGTTCCAATTAATCCCAAAGTTGTTAGATGGGGTTGAAGTCAGGGCTCTGTGCAGGCCAGTCAAGTTCTTCCACACCGATCTTGACAAACCATTTCTGTATGGATCTCGCTTTGTGCACGGGTGCATTGTCATGCTGAAACAGGAAAGGGCCTTCCCCAAACTGTTGCCACAAAGTTGGAAGCACAGAATAGTCTAGAATGTCATTGTATGCTGTAGCATTAAGATTTCCCTTCACTGGAACTAAGGAGCCTACCCCGAACCATGAAAAACAGCCCCAGACCATTATTCCTCATCCACCAAACTTTACAGTTGGCACTATGCATTGGATTAGGTAGTGTTCTCCTGGCACCTGCCAAACACAGATTCGTCTGTCGGACTGCCAGATCTTGAAGCGGGATTCATCTCTCCAGAGAACGCGTTTCCACTGCTCCAGAGTCCAATGTCGGCGAGCTTTACACCACTCCAGCCGATGCTTGGCGTTGCACATGGTGATCTTAGGCTTGTGTGCGGCTGCTCGGTCATGGAAACCCATTTCACTAAGCTCCCGACGAACAGTTATTGTGCTGACGTTGCTTCCAGAGGCAGTTTGGAACTCGGTAGTGAGTGATGCAACCGAGGACAGATGATTTTTACACGCTACAGCACTCGGCGGTCCCGTTCTGTGAGCTTGTGTGGCCTACCACTTCGCGGCTGAGCCATTGTTGCTCCTAGACGTTTCCACTTCACAACAGCACTTACAGTTAACCGGGGCAGCTCTAGCAGGGCAGAAATTTGACGAACTGATTTGTTGGAAAGGTGGCATCCTATGACGGTGCCACGTTGAAAGTTACTGAGCTCTTCAGTAAGGCCATTTTACTGCCTATGTTTGTCTATGGAGATGTGCTCGATTTTTATGCACTTGTCAGCAACGGGTGTGGCTGAAATAGCCAAATCTGCTAATTTGAAGGGGTGTCCACATACTTTTCTATATATAGTGTATATGCCATTTAGCAGACGCTTTTATCCAAAGCAACTTTAGTCATGCGTGCATACATTTCATGTATGAGTGGCCCCAGGAAATGAACCCATAATCGTGACGTAACAAGCGCCATGCTCTACCAAAGCGTGTCTGTGATGGTGAATAAGAGGAGCCTCAGTGTCAGTGGTCAGAAGTTCTTAAAACCCCTGCAGTCTGTGGTCAATATGGTTAACCATCATTCAGTGGATCTGAAGTTCTTGGTGATGAGAACATACAAACACTCAAACTATTCACTGTATCCCAATATTCTACTTACTTTGCATCAATAATATATAATACAGTAATAACAAACTATTGTAGGAAGACTTAACATTGTTTATCTGTCTCAACCAGGTAAATGGATGGGATATGACCATGGTGACACACGACCAGGCACGCAAACGGCTGACAAAGAAGAATGAAGACATTGTGCGGCTACTGGTGACCAGGAAATCGCTGGAGCAGGCTGTCAGACATTCTATGATGTAATGACGCCAAACAGTAACAGCGGCTTGGTGACCTCATTGTCTTTCGAACAGGTGGCATCCCTCCAATGCAACGGTTGTCCTTTAGTGCAGACGGAGTTTGCTATCTGACGTAAGACAATGCCAGTGACCGAGAGCATTGTATTCCAAATCTTTTCTCACATACTGTAAGGTTGGGGTGAATTCCATATCAATTCTGTCAATTCAGGAGATGGAATGAAATTGAAAAGTGCCATTTATTTTCATGAAGGATTCCAGAGTTGATGGAGTTGAAATGGAATTGATCATGGCCGTACTCGCATATTCCCAAACAGGGTACACTCCATTTATATAATGTCTCTACAATTCATCAGTATGGTTCTAGTTATTGGGATTATTAATGCCTTAACTAGCTGACTTGTGTATTACTTATTCAGTTATTAGTACATTTCATTTCAGTTAATGATCTGTCATGATTTGATTTACTCATCATTTTATATCTATGTTTTCGAGTCGATGTCTCTACAAGCCAAAGGAAAACAATGCAAAGGAACTATAGATTGATAAATTGAACCATGTCATGTGGTGTAACTTCCACATATTTAGCATGTGCCGTTTTGTAGTGGTGATAGAGGTTGTTATGCAAACATACGCATACAAAGCACATATGGTAATTTCTAGCATTTATCTGCTACACTAATTTGTGTGTTTTCTATAGAGGCTTCCTGTTTATATGACTTATGTTTTGAGTTTAATATATGGCTTTAATGACAATTTAACACTGAAGTGCTTAACACCGCCTTGTGTTGTGGGAAATTAATGAATATTCATCAGGCTTGGATGATATATTTTGGAATCTTTATTTTGGTGTCATCCATGTTGTGCATCTACCAAAGTAACAAGCACAGCTGAACTGCATGCTTTATATTTCATTTTACAATATTGTAGTTCATGTCTACCAAATACTGTAATATTAATTTGAGGATTTTAGTTTTGTATGTTGTGCAGGAAAACAGTTACTTCCCAATCATCTGCATATAGTTAATCTGGTGTTGCCATCCTTGCCTTGAAATCAAGGCTGGGGCATAGTCAACCTTTTAATAAGTGCCTTCTTTATCAGGTTCATATAGAGAAAGTGGCATGTTGGATGATCTTAGACAGCTAGTTGCACACTGGAATAGTTTGGACCAAGGTTGAAGGATCTAATGAATTGAGAGAGAAGTTTGATACACCACAGCCTTAAATGAAACTCTAGTGATTGTACCACTAAATCTTGATGGTGCCGATAGTGTTTTTATATTCATGCACTTTTCCATTCCTATATAGTTCAATGATATGTGAATTTTATCACTGCCTCAGCCATGCAATACACAGCAATACATCACTGATTTAATCCAATCTTCTTAGTTCCTATTAATATGGATAAAAAATAAGTAAAGTGAAGTCGTAATGCAGATTCCAATGGTACCTAATATACATACACGTTGTAGTATGTTCTACTAATTTAGTATTTGGTATGGCTTTGTTTTTGTTAGCATTTATTTTATAGGGAGATTATCATTATATGTCATTGGCAGAGTGACACATCTAACTCCACACCCAACTTTTTAAAGAATAAACACTTCAAAAGACTGCCAAACCTTTTGATAAATGTAGTCTTGCATGAATGTTTTCTATGAAGTCGATTTTTATCTACATGTCGATTGTTAAAATATCTTATTTTATTTGTTCTCCATAAGTACTCCCGAGTATATGAGGAAAACCTTTGATTTTACTATTTGGGCATATGATTGTATACTGTACACTTTTCAAATGTCTTTAACATAAATCAAAATCAACTGAAAGAATGCATCTTTTTTTTGGTATTATGTGTTTGTCAGGCACTTTGTGGAAAATTGACTGTTGTCACCGATAGGTGATATTCTCTGACAAAACAGAATATGTGGTTCTGAGACATGAGCAGGGATAATATTTTATCTGTGTGCACTGTATGTTAGAAGAAATAGTATATGCCAAGACAAGCTCATTTTGTGAAAAGATTACATAACGTCAGCTGAAACAATGAAGAGCAGCTGTACTTCACAGATCCACAGCTGCTAATTAAATGCTGTTCGTTAGCATCATAAAGATGGGTGGAAAAAAAGGTGTGAATGTTAGATTTGAGAAGCTGTTGGAGCATCCTGGTGTGTGCATAGATTCATGGTGTGTGTGGGCAGTTGCGCAGCTTACCACCACCCTGTCATCGACCATTTTATGAAGCATATTAACCAATAGAAATACATATGTGGGTTTGCAATACAGTATTTCTATAGGTTGAGTTTTATTATTGACATATTGAAAGATTTGTTCTTTCATCATACTGTATTTCGTCCAATTGTCTTGATCTTTGGCCTTTATCACCATAGACTTTAGATATCTTCATGTTACCAACTTGAAAGTAATCAGATGACATTTCAAAGCAGTGAATCTATTACCTGACCTTTCCCTGTGTACTCAGGCATTTTATATGATCAGTTTCTCCACTTTCATCTCTTAATATTGCCACTCATCTAAAAACAAACACTCCTCTTTTAACTGCTGGTGTGGAGACAACACCCGATGCACCACCCAGAGAGCAACCTGGTCCATCCTCTCCCCAATCTCTTCACTCTAAGAATAGCAGCACATCCTTGAATCAAATGATCACATCATCAGCTTTTATCCAATTCAGCATATTTTTATTCATGGCTGTCATTATCAAAGAGATACAGACATGGCACAATTTTTACCTTACTAATAATATTGCTAATGACATACCCAAATGGGTTATGCTGTTCCCAGAATCAGGGGAGGGTGGCTGATCGATTCAGTGTGAGGCTTTGCTAAAATCCCCTTTGAGAAATAATTGATGAGGAGTGTGTATCTGTGTGTGTGTTTTCTCAGTATGAGAAAGTGAGTTGTTTGACATGAAGACATCAGCAAGAGTTTTGTTTGTCTCATAGGGACTTAGCTACATACATAATTTTCGTTCCATTCCACTTGCCTAAACACTACACAGGGAGCTATGAGATATGACGTGGGGCTACAGTGAATGTGGTTGAGCACACATTTCCGCAAAGAAATCACACCAGTAATCCATTAGAACTGGCTCTGTTCTCACTAATCCAATCCAATCGTGCCATGTTGTCCACAAAATTATCACATTGCTTGTTGCTGGGTAACTGGATTTATAATGAGAGAACCACCTCCATCTCAATAGATACTAATACTACAGTACTGTAATATGTAGAGTAGTTGTTGTTCATGTAGAGGTAACCAGTTCATTGAATTAGAAAACTCAAACCAAAACGATGCCAAAACAATAACTTCCCAATATTACTGTTACTATACACTTCAGTGTTGTGATGCCCAAATCCTAGCAAAATACATAGCGCATAAAATTGAAAAGGTATTGTTGGATATTATTCATCCTAATCAGACAGGCTTTGTACATGGATGATACATTGGAGATAATATAAGACAAGTACTGGAAACAGTAGAACACAATTAAAAATCTAGGAAACCAGGCCTGGTATTCATAGCTGACTTTGAAAAGGCCTTGGATAAAGTACGACTGGAATGTATATATAAATGCCTGGATTATTTAAATGCCTAGTTAAATAAAGGTTAAAGAAAAAATAATTATTATTTAAATTTTTGAGAATCTCTTATACAATGGGTTAAAGTTATGTATAGTAACCCCAGGTGTAAAATAGTAAATAATGGCTACTTCTCAGAAAGTATTAAATTGTCAAGAGGAGTAAAACAAGGTTGTCCACTATCGGCATATCTATTTATTATGGCCATTGAAATGTTAGCTATTAAAATCAGATCCAACAATAATATCAAGGGGCTAGAAATCCAGGGCTTAAAAACAAAGGTGTCATTGTACGCTGACGATTCATGTTTTCTTTTAAATCCGCAATTTTGATCTTTGCATAGCCTGATAGAGGATCTAGATAATTTTTCTAACCTCTCTGGATTAAAGCCGAATTATGATAAATATTAGGCCTACGTATTGGATAAAATGGTCCGACGGTGAAGTGGACATACTCGGTATTACTATCCCAAAATAAATAAATAATCTCACTACAATACATTTTAATAGAAAGTTAGCCAAATTAGATAAGATCTTGGAAAGGACAACACCTGTCTATTTGTGGAAAAATCACCCTGATTAATTATTTAGTCATATCCCAGTTTATCTATTTACTTATGGCCCTGCCTACACCTTGTTTTTTAATTACAGTGCATTCAGAAAGTATTCAGACCCTTTGACTTTTTCCACAATTTGTTACTTTACAGCCTTATTCTAAAATGGATTTAAAAAATACAAATCCTCATCAATCTGCACACAATACCGCATCATGACAAAACGAAAACAGGTTTTTAGACATTTTTGCAAATGTATTAAAAATAAAAAACAGAAATACCTTATTTACATAACTATTCAGACCCTTTGCTATGAGACTCAAAATTGAGTTCAGGTGCATCCTGTTTCCATAGATCATCCTTAAGATGTTTCTACAACTTGATTGGAGTCCACCTGTGGTAAATTCAATTGATTGGACATGATATGGAAAGGCACACCTGTCTATATAAGGACCCACAGTTGACAGTGCATGTCAGAGCAAAAACCAAGCCATGAGGTCGAAGGAATTGTCCGTAGAGCTCCGAGACAGGATTGTGTCGAGGCACAGATCTGGGGAAGGGTACCAAAAAATGTCTGCAGGTCCCCAAAAACAAAGTGGCCTCCATCATTCTTAAATGGATGCCACTCAGTAAAAGGCACATGACAACCCGCTTGGAGTTTGCCAAAAGGCACCTAATGGACTCTCAGACCATGAGAAACAAGATTCTCTGATCTGATGAAACTAAGATTGAACTGTCTGGACTGAATGCCAAGCGTCATGTCTGGAGGAAACCTGGGAGACTAGTCAGGATCGAGGGAGAGACTTGAAAATAGCTGTGCAGCGACGCTCCCCATCCAACCTGACAGAGCTTAAGAGGATCTGCGGAGAAGAATGGGAGAAACTCCCCAAATACAGGTGTGCCAAGCTTGTAGCGTCATACCCAAGAAGACTCGAGGTTGTAATCGCTGTCAAAGGTGCTTCAACAAAGTACTGAGTAAAGGATCTGAATACTTCTGTAAATTTGATATTTCTGTTGTTGTTTTAAAATATTTTTTTAATACATTACAAAAAACAGTTTTTGCTTTGTCATTATGGGGTATTGTGTGTAGATTGATGAGGGGGAAAAACAATGTAATTAAGTTTAGAATATGGGTGTAACGTAACAAAATGTGGGGAAAAATCAAGGGGTCTGAATACTTTCCAAATGCACTGTATATGAGCAAAAAATATTCTACTTTATTTGGAACGGCAAACCAGAAAAAACTATTTATATAATGAATATGAATTCTGAGGGCATAAATTATTAAATATTAAAGCATTGGACCTCTCACTAAAGGCTTCAGTCATACAAAAACTATACTTAAATCCAAATTTGTTCTCTAGCAGATTAGTAAGAATGGCTCACCCCGTGTTCAAGAATGGCCTTTTTCCCTTCAGCAGATTACAGCCTCTCACTTTCGGTTATTTGAAAATGAAATAATCTCAAAAATATCGCAATTTTTAAAACAAGCCATAGAAAGCTGGTTGCAATTTCAGTTTAATCCACCAGAAAAGACAGAACACATATTACAACAAATATTATGGTTAAACTCAAATATATTAATTGATCAAAAAAACATTATTTTAAGAAATAATGTTTAAAAACTGTATAATCTTTGTAAATGATATCATAAATAGGACTGGTGGAGTTATGTCAGACATGCAGTTAACAAAAATATATGGAAACATCTGCTCTATTCAAAATTACAACCAACTGATTGCAGCATTCCCGCAAAAAGGGATGAGGCAAGTTGAAAGGGGAGAAGGTAAGGAACTTGTCTGTCGACCCTGCATTAAAGACCAATATTGACTAAAGAAAATTGTGATAAATAAAAAAGTATACCAGTTTCCTTTCAGGATCAAAAAAATGACAGTTGCGCCATACAGGTTAAAAATAGTTGGGAGGAGATTTTCGTTTTACCGATTCCATGACACATGGTTTATGAACTGATACACAAAACAACGCCGGATTCAAAACTTAGTTTTTCAATTTAAATTATTATACAAAATTCTTGCAACCAATAGAATGTTATGTATATGGGGGATACAACCATCCCAGCTCTGCAGATTTTGCTGCGAAGAGACAGAATCATTAGACCACTTGTTTTGGTACTGCCCATATGTAGCTTGTTTTTGGTCGCATGTTCAGGAATGGCTGAAACATTTCAACATTTATTTGGAGCGAACTCCGCAAATAGCAATGCCTGTTCTGTGAGCTTGTGTGGCCTACCGTTGTTGCTCCTAGACCTTTCCACTACACAGTAACAGCACTTACAGTTGACATGGGGCAGCTCTAGCAGGGCAGAAATTTGATTTGAAAAGTCATAGTCGATCGATCAATAATATAATAATACTCTTGGCAAAAATGTTTCTCTTTAATTTACAATCTGTAGAAACAACTTTTGTGAAACATCATTGGAAAAATCTGTGGAAAAATATATGGCAGCTAGAAATCAAAACTGGATGGTCTTCAGAGATAGATGGGAGAGGTTGAGGGTAGCTGAAGGCTGGGACTAAAAACAAACAAAAGATAACGAATGTAAAATACAAAGTATGTGGACACCTGCTCGTCGAACATCTCATTCAAAATCATGGACATTAATATGACGTTGGTCCCCCCCTTTGCTGCTATAACAGCCT